GAGAGAGAGATAGAGAGAGAGAGAGAGAGATAGAGAGAGAGAGAGAGAGATAGAGAGAGAGAGAGAGAGATAGAGAGAGAGAGATAGAGATAGAGATAGAGAGAGAGAGATAGATAGAGAGAGAGATAGAGAGAGATATATAGATAGATAGATAGAAAGAGATATATATAGATAGATAGATAGAGAGAGAGAGATAGATAGAGAGAGATAGAGAGAGATAGAGAGAGAGGGAGAGAGAGATGGTGTGTGTGCGTGTGCGTGTGCGTGTGCGCGTGTGCGTACGTGCGCGTGTGTGTGTGTGTGTGTGAGAGAGAGAGAGAGAGAGAGAGAGAGAGTGATCAGAGGTACACAGTGGGCTACCTACCGTTGCTTTGAATACGCCCGTGTATTCTGGCCGCGCCCCTAATATCCATCGACTTATAGAAACTCCATGGCTCAGCTCTCATTCTCCCGTATATCCGAGGATGCTTACGTATAGAGGGAGAGCTGGAATCCTGTGAGCCACGAGAAAGAGAGAAGAGGCTAGAGCATATAGCAGTTTAACGTCAAGTATATTTCAACCTACAATCAGACTCTCCGGACAAATACCCTTATTTGTACACATCCTGTTCATTGTGACGTAGTCGTAGTAAAGGCGGCCCAAAGAGACGAGACCGATGAGATGAAGCTTCGAATGTAGAGCAGAGGAGTTGAAATACTTCCGGTAGGCTCGCTCCCTCTCATTTATTTTCTCTCCATCGTGGGCTTCGTTTTTCCTTTCTTTTTTCATTCCTTCTTCAAGCCTTATTATCGCAACGTACGTCGAGGGTCTGCGTATATGGACCCCTCGTCGATACGCGCGTTACGCCTTCTTACGATTTTTTCCTCCACTCCTTCGTCTCTCTTCCTCCCATCCGTCTCGCCTTCGCTTCTCAGATCCTTTGAGCACGCTCAAAGTATTTGTATACACAGGGCGGGAATGATGATGCACGCGCGTTATCGAAGCGCTTACCTATTCTTCATGGAGATCTGAGACATTTGAGGCACGTGAGAGGGTGCGAGCTTTTTGCTGCTTTCGGTTACGGAAGTCTAACGACCACGTAAGTCTAACTCCTCGCAAGAGCCTCGGATTTCTTTAATATTTCATGTCGCTAGTTCAACATGTGGGCCGCGCCTACCGAGTGTAAACATTGTAGCGCGGCGTTGAGTGAAGTAATTCATTTGCCAAAGGACCGTAATAATAATATTCATTCGTCTTGTCCGAGTCGTAGTGTGAAATATTAGCTTTTGCGAGCGGCGGTAAGCAAGCATTCGGTAATACTTTTCTTGCTTGGTTTTATTTTCCATTCGTTTCTCATAATGCGCCGGAATCGTTGGAATATGCGATGAGGGATAAATGGTCAAAGTAGATCAATTTCATTACATTTATAAGGATTATGAACGATGTGCTCGGAAATAACAGAGTTTCGTTAAAGAATAGGCGTAAAAGTCTGATAAATAGCGTTTTAAAATATCTATAAAATGTCATGAAATAATGAACGTAATTAAGTATAAAACGTTCGGTAGATGGAACGCGTAACGTATATTGTAATTACATTTATTTGCTTGTCATCGAAAAATATGGTTTAACAGTATAATGGAATGCATAGCACTCCTATACGCGAAAACCGTCAAACTAATTTTTCCTTCAAAACAATTGATAAAAATATATATATGTATATATATATATATATATATATATATATGTATATATTCCGTATTAATGCGCGTAGGCGTGCATGAAACTAAATATCATATACAATAGAATGGAAAATAGCGCGACAGTTCTCTTGAAAAATAGATAACCAATGCAGGGAACGAATCGCTTTGTAATGATGTACACGTTTCCCGTTAAAAAAATCTTCGCGTAATACGATCACTTAATGGACAACAAACAGCATACGATTTCGAGATATGATCGTAACGGGAGTGCATTAAGTACACAATATTATAACGACAAAGTTTTATAATGTCGTTCATCGGAGCTGGGCAGTCGAGATGAATCGTTAAGGGGACAGTTCGATCTTATCGACGACGATGCTCGTAAACAGCGAGCGATATCAGCCCATTCATAATCCACCGGGGTGGAAGGCACTGAAATTCGCGTTAGTAGTGATGCCGATCGCTCACTTCAAGAGAACTCGAGCGGTTATCCACTTTTCCTGTACTCGTACATCCGGTGGTAGGTATTATTCCCGATAGGTCGTGGCAAGGGCGGGACGGCTAATCAACGGGGGCTTTCCCGACTCGATTCTCTTACGAGCCTCGTAATACGCGGCGTGAAACAAGAGTTTCCGGCTATCGGTCTGTTTGCTTGTTTTTTTGGCCTGTGTGCACCCTTCAAACGTCTTTTGTTATTGTTGCTCTGAAATGTGTATCGCGTCTGCGGGTGAGGAAATGGGCGGTGAGAGATCGTGGCCCGGTTTGCGGGCGTTTGCCAAAAGGATTTGGAAATAAGGAGTCGGGACGTCTTGCGTGTTACATATACATGTTCCTTTCGGCACATCCCTCTTCCGTCATTTCTTCAAAATGTTTCTTCAAAATTTCGACTGTCACTGGAACGTTGTTCCCGAAATGCGAAGGATGTGTGCTACTCAAGCTATCAACTTTCATCTCTTTTGATAAACAACGCAAACATATGGGATACAAGTATCAGCTTTCACTTAAATAAATTGATTGATTAATTGATTAATTAATTATCATTATTATTATAGATAATTATAATATATATGTAGATATATGTGTATATGCTTATATAGTACTAAACTAGAGCAATAAACGTGTAGTCATAGAATTTGAGAAATGCTAGCAAATTATTTCTAAGGGTGCGCATCCATAAATTCGCTACATATCTATTTACAGGCACATCCAATCATAAGCATAATTCTATTTAAATTAGTAAAACAATTATCAAATATTTTAAGTAAAGGATCAATAATTCTGGAAGGCTATTAATAAACGAAACAATTAATTATTGTTTCAAACTACTCGAACGTTTCTGTAATCTATTTATTTAATAAACTTTTGCAATATTTCCGTTTTATACGTTATAGAATAACGTCGATGACTCTCGTCAAAACAAGTATCGATTTACCTCAACATACTGAATATACTGTGATAAATTTATAATCCTCCGGCGTATGTTGTCACAGTACGTTAAACTGTGACGAAATGCGTCTTAACTTATTTATACTTTAGAATTACAAATTATAAGACTTCTATTGATACAAATCGTTGAATACAATATTCATTTTTTTTTTTAATCTGTGGAGTTTGGAAGAATCGATATTAGAAATAAAATATACAACATTTTATGTATATATATGCAAATTGTATATACATATGTACACACACGCACGCACACACATATATGTATATATAAATAAATTAGTTACATGCTGTATTAGTCGATAAATAATTGATTTTATTTTTAGATTTAGATATTCTTTTATAATTATTTATAATATTTTTAGATCTATGAACAAGACTTTCTCGAATTCATGTAATTGCTTAAAAAATGAACGACTACGTATATAACATTATTTTTTCCACTGTACATAAACAAGAATCCATTGTTACAAGATGATTAAAAAAAAAAAAAAAGATAATTAAAATTAGTTACTCGGCTTATTTGTCCCTTCTTGGAAATGAACGAAAAGTCCGAGTTGCGCTTAATTCGTTTTAAAGTTTCGTTCGGTGCTTAGAGCAAGGAAGGAAAACAATTTTACCCTAATCCTATTTTCAAATTCAATTATAAGTCTGCGTCATAGTCGGTGAGGTCGGAATGAAAAAGTAATTTTCCCGAAATGTGTACGACGAGGCGCGCACCGGTCCTACGTGGCATTCCCAAAGCTACTTCCCATCCCCATTCGACGTGAAAATCTGCAGCATTAGAATGGCCTCGTAGTTTCGACAACTACAATGTAATAAAGGGAGCCATGGATCAGCCCCTACTGCTGCAATAAGAGCGAGAGAGAGTGGATGCGACTTTGGCAAATCGCCACGGCCTCGCTCGCCCAGTGAAACAAAATGATACTTCATTGGGACGATTTGCCTTTGCAGTTCAACTTTTATTTCCCTGACACAATTTATGTAACGCCGCTTTTACCTTTCATGTGGACAAATTAAAAATATGCTATGATTATCAAGCGGAAAGTATTTAGTGAGCTTTATGAAGTTTGAAAAATTTGCAACTGCCATTTAGATACTCGCAACTACACTACTTCGCAACGATTCATCAATTAAAAACACGGGCGTTTCACCAATGGAAATCGAATGAGAGTCATTATAGATTAGGATTGAGATTGAGAGAGCGAGAGAGAGGAGAGAGAGAGAGAGAGAGAGAGAGAGAGAGAGACAGCGAGAGAGAGAAAAGTAATTTGTAAGAAAATAAGCCTGCTAGAGTTAGTTCTCTTCTATTCCCTGCCTCCCTTCCTCCCGCCCTCACGCACGCACACACGCACACACGCATACACCCTCTCTCTTTCTCTCGTTTGCAATTGACCATATGCCACGAGGGAATGATGGTGCGGTGAGGACGGGGGGACGAAGGGACAAACGGGTAATTACAAGGGATGCTCTCCTCTCGGCTGTAAGGTCGGCTCCGAAGAAGAAGAGAGAAAAGAGCGAGCGACCACCGCGGGTGCACGAAGCGGAGCCTCCTCGACGCGCACGCCGCCGGAGTATAGCGATGACGAGGGAGTGGGGGACGAAAATCCGACCGACTCGGACTGCTCTCGGAGGTCGGGCCGCCGGGGTGGGGGAATGCGCGGCTATATAACGAAGGTCCTAAACCCCGAAGGGTCACAGTCGTCTCGAAATTTTCGAGGGTTGCGCACGTCTTAAATTACGCTACTCTCCATCCCTTCCTTTCTCCCTTTCTCACTATTTATCATTCTCTCTCTCTCTCTCTCTCTCTCTCACACACACACACACTCAAAAACAATTTCAATCTCCTTGTCGCTCGTTCGAGCGTCTTTCCCTTCCCCGCGGCGCTCGCTCAATTGCTCTCGCAGACGCGGCATTTTACGTCGAGCAGCGGGGGGAACGGAGGAGAACCGAGCGAGTGGTGTGGAGCGTGACCGCGGAGAGGACGCGCGCAGTTCTGTTGTGCCAGAGGAAGGAAAGATAGTGCGGTGCGAGATGTCGTCGACGATGAGGCTCGTGCTCGCGGTGGCCGCGGTGTGCGCGGTCGCAGTGTCCTCCGGCGCGAGCTTCGACCTCGGCCCGATCGTCAGGGTCGCCCAGTGCAGGTCCCAGTGTCTCAAGAAGCACAGCATCGACGGCTCCTGCGAGTGGTGGCGACACGGAGAGACCGGCTGTAACGAAGTGAGTGCCCCATACAAAGTTCCTAGTGGCGGGCGAGTCTCGATCTTTTCCACGCATCATCCGGTAGACGATGTTACTTGCTCGGCTCGATGGTCTGCGTGCGATGGCCACGATCTTTTTCAATTAACACAGACTCGAGGAAAGGCTCAGGAAAGGGTCGAGTGCTCGCTCGCTCTATTTATCCAATATGCGCTTTATTATGTTTTTCATGTTCTTACAATTACCTCGGACTAGTTGGAGAGTTCGAATTACACTTGCATTATGTTTCTACAATTCCCATCCTTATACCTCTCGTCTCGCCACT